GGTGGCTGCAGCCCGACTCGCTCGCCGCCCCGTAGCCGATGGCAGCACATGCCGGCGCCTCCCGGGCCGCGGCCGCTTGGGCGGTGCGTGCTTTGAATGTGCGGTTCCAGTCAGGCAGGGTCCCTGGCACCGGGCGGGAAGGCAGCCTTCATGGCATCCCCTCCTCCTCCCTATGAAACACTCGTTCTCCTCGAATACGTCTGCGATACCAAATATAGACTTTGAGAGCGAGGTGCGAGCAGCGATGGAGAGCTTTTTCAACTAAAGCTTCTACTCCTTATGGATATGCATACATCTGTTTAAAGCGGACAGCTGTAAACTAAATTTTCCTTATGTGGCCGCTCTCTTAGTTCTTCGCTGTCCTATTACGAGCTGCAGTTTTAACAGAATCTGCTGTTCTTGATAGGGGAACTCCTGGCAAGTTTTCCTATCTTGCAAGCACTAAACTGCGCTGTGGAGAAGCATGAATGTATTTTCTCAAATTTGCACAAAGCATTCGCTTGCCTTTGAAAGATCTGTATTGAATATCTTGAGCTTTCATTTTCAGAAAGGATTAGATTAGTAGATGCAAATGTGGACACATAGCTAATCTCTCTGTACAGTGTTGAGAAGTGGCTAAGACTTTATGGGATGTGTTTTTCTGTAGTTGTAAAATGTAGGACAAATATTTAAGGAAAACTTTGAAAATAGTAGGCTGAGTCATTCTGTGAAAAGAAATATCTAAGGAGAAACATCTAAGCTGATATGCTAATAAGCCACCTTCTTGGTTACTAGCATGCTGTCTACAGTTGTGGGACTGGTCTAAAAAAGTAGCACCTTTTATTTTAAGCTTTCTGTGTGTGAGAAAAGGAAGCTCTTAACAATTGGATTATTTAAGCTTTTGTTTAGGAGTCCAGTCAGAGTTTGAATTGCAGTGAAATACTTGCGCCTTTGTGAATCTTGAACATGATTAAATATGAATATTTGGTGCAAGGGATTTGTTGCTAACTTGTAGCTTTTTTTTTTTTTTCCTCACAGATTAACTGTTTTTAGTTAGGCCTTCATTTTATGCTTGTGAAGAGTTAGAAAGTTACCGACTTACATATTTCTTTTTACATAAAAATTGTTTAGTAGATAGGAGATCCTGAAACCTGCTGAATCACTAGTAGTTAAGCCATTTTAAAAGGTATTTTAAGCATCTTATAAATTTAGATATCTGAAAAGGATGTCTAGGGTAAAAACAAAAACAGTTTTGAAATGGCCTTGGAATTTTAAGTGTAACATAGTATTATTTGGAGTCACTTGATTTGGTTGAGTGTCTGTACGTGTCTTCTAAAATACTGCAATAAGATAGTGCATAATGTGAGTTCTTTGGAAAGTTTGGTAATTTCTTTTTTTCCGTTTTTCAAGCTTCTGTTTGGCTTTGTCTCTTGATTCATTTAGCTTTAAAACCAAGGCTTTGTCTGTGGGTACTCAAGCTGAGTGAGTGAGAGCAGTTCAGGGATCTGTCAAAAGATAATGCCTAATAGCAAACCTGTGACCAGTTTAAAGTACTATGTGAATTTTGAAGGGAAGCAGTCACCTTACTAGCCTTTCAGACTTACTGAAAACCTAGTTCTTTGCCTAATTTTAAGTCCAAGTGGATAGGATGTAGACCACTGTATTCAGAAGGTGAGATGTAAGTAAAATTAAGAATGAATATCAGACCAAAAGTTACTGTCCAGAATGCTTCTATACGGGGAGGTCTATAGAAGGAGAATCATAGAAAATTGAGATGCAGGTGGAAATGCAGCAGCTTAGTTGCAGTACATGTTATGTGACCTAATTTTTTGCACTAGTTGCTGTAGTTGTATTTGTGCTAATATTGGGGGGTGGGGGAGTAAAATGACATCTGATATTGTTCACTTTTTTGTTTGATGGCAAGTAGTAAGTGCTCAGATGTTGAGAAACTTCTTTGAAATCTTGGTAAGATTTCATTAAGTGGTTGTAGCCACACTGTAACTGATGATCTTTTGTCAAACTTAGTCTCTCCACTGATACCTAAAACTGTGAGTTAAATGAGAAATTTGAGACTTGGTTTGAAACTGCTCTTCTGACTACCTCTACATTTGAGTATTTGCTCTTGCTAGCTTTCCAGTTTCCGTATCCATCAACAGTTGCTAACTATCTTGTGTATCAAATTATACTGCAGTTTTCTTGAAACAGAGACCTTAATAAAAAGAGCTGAAAAATGAGGTTCAGTGTATGCACTGAATGCCATCCAGTATGCTGAAATTGATTTTTGTTTGTCATTCTCCTCAAAGGTTACACAAATGAGAATTTGAAAGCACAGAAGGCATTCATTTAATTTGGTTTCTAATTAAGATGGTTAAATTGAAAAAATGGTACTAGAAAGATTTATAGTCTTAGTAGGACTGTAATGAAATATGCAGAGTCTAGCCTGATGATGTTATTTCTAAATAAAATGGTACTGTCAAATGAAGGGCAATTTTTTTCATTATATGAGTTATATACAAAGAATGTTTATAAACTATTTTGTCCATGATTAGTGTGGATGGTATTAGACATGATGTTATTGTTGCAGAAAGAAGTGCTGGTCATATTTTTGCTTTAAAGCATCTTTGCTACTTATATCTGGCTGGATTCTCTAGGATCAGCGCAACTTCTTATTTTTGGGTCACTAGTTCTGTCTGGCATTGGCTCACCAGTACTGCTCTTGTGATGTGTAAGAGCGAACCTTAGTGAGATGCTGTTAAAAGGCATCAACTGCACTACAGCTGAAATAGGATGGGCTGATTACGTGCACAGAGGAGGACTTGATGGGCCAGTGGATATTTATTTTATTTAGGACTCCCTGAAGGACCTTTTTCCTCGCAACAATCGGAGCAGGAAAGTAAAAACTCTCATGTAAGAAGTCCAGAGTCTCTTTTTAACTGAAGGGTGCTCTAGAATAAAATATTCTGAACTCAGCCTGCTTGGTATTCCTTGGATAGGAATGACCTACCTACGTCTCCTCAAAAAGTATGAAAGATACCTGTTGATGGGTGTGGAGTTTCTCATTGTAGCCTGAAATAGATTAGTGCTGAGAAACCTCTCATGAATGTATATAAATGATCAAAACCTAGTGGTCTTCATGCATATTGTGGGTTTGCTTGTTCAACTCTAGTGTTAGTGCAGTCATGTTTCTACATTAAGGTTGGTTTTACTTCTGATCAATGTCAAGAGTAGTTCTGGGTTTTATTTTATGGAGGATACGATAAGCGTGGAAAAGAAC